GCCGGAGAAAAATGAGTTTGACCACGTTTGAGATGTCTATGGAAAGATAACATCTCGTAGAATTCACAGAAGATAACTTTTCATCATTTGGAGTTATAACGCATCCGCAAATTGCAATACAAATTAGCACAAAATCATCCAAGGCTGAGATTTCCAAAAAAGCAGTTTCGATGCAGTGTTTTGAAGTGACCTTTTGGAAGCTTAAATGAAGTCCGATCGAGCTGATATTTGGTATACGAGACTTTGACACATTGGAGTTCATAATCAACGGTGGGATTGAGAATATAACGGTCAGTTTGTTACTTATTCGTGTCTTTCCGAACCTGTTTGGCATAGTGAAAACAAACATAACACCAGTCTAATAGAGCAACATAACACCAGTATAATAGAGCAACAACTTAAAACCAATAACTGTTAAATAATCAAACACTAAGGCTCTTTAGGGCTGACGCTCCCACTTTGACCTGGACTGTGTCTCCTCCTAGGCAGGCGTCTATCTCCGCTCGGTGCAGCCTCCTCCGCTAACTCATCATCCTCTCCTTCAGTCATCTCATCATCTTCCTCTTCCTCTTCCTCTTCCTCTTCCTCTTCTGGGATGTCTGTACGCATAGATCTCATCACCTTGATCCGATTAAGAGCACCCCAAATCCGGTGCAACATGTTGTTGTTCTTTTTTGCTGCATCCATCATCCACTTGCGGTAGTCTTGTTCGCTAGGATCTTCTACTGATGGGAGAAGACGAAACTCACTCGAATCTACTGGAAGAAGTGTCTCGGAAGAAATCTCTGTACCTCCATTCTCTCTGCTGGAAGAAGTGTTCGACCGGTCCCAGTTTGCAGGTTCGTACGAGCCAGAGTTAGGCGAAAATCAGACGAAACGAACATTCTCAAACCGATCATTAAGGGAAAAATAACAGTTTCATGAAACAAGTTTGAATATGAATGCAAAATCTTCAAAATAGTAGAATAAAATACCTTGAGTTAGGGCAAAGGGTGCTCTGAGCTTATTTGATTAACACCTCAACAAAAAGATCAACAAAAAAGAAGAACGTAAAAACTTTTTCACATACAATAAACCCTAAATTTTATATATTTTGTTTATTAAATGTATATTTAAATAAAAATTTATAGTTTTTAATTAGTTGGGGTATATTTGTATTTTAAGCTCATGTAAAGACTAATCCCCCAAAGTACAAAAAAAAGGTATAGATCACCAAACATATAGTTAAAACATCCTTTAATTCCATATTATTCTCCCATTACCCAGATAATCTTATAGTTACCTTGTACTATAACAAAATATGTTTTACGTCGCTCAATTCATTACAGAGTAACAATGAAGAGCCATATTTGAAGAAAGTAAAAGAATATGACTCAACGCTCAAATAATAAATTACTAGGGGGATGGTTGATTTCAATCTATTGTGCAACAACACATTTGAGTTATTGGATCACACCTTCCATGATGGAGCCGTTCCGCCAGACAGTCATGAAAACATTCATAATCGTGATACCTTGGACCACATTTAAAAATGCAACGACGACCTTGTTTCGCTGGCTTGATAACTGAACATGTACATAACCCCATGTTAATATTAAATGTATATACTGTATATCCATATATATAATCTTTTTTTCATTTCAGTTCTTAAAAGCCAAACATGTATACATACAAATGGCTATTATCACATCTATATATTTTGAAAACAAAAATGTTGAATTATTGCCTGTATGATCAATAATAATCGAAAATAACAAATTATTGTGATCATACCTGATGATACAGCCAAGACGTTGTAGTCGGAAAATTGAATTGCTAATATTACTACCCAAAAAATAGCCACAATTTTTTTTGTAGTATTCATTATATTTTCTTTAGTTTTAGTTCAAGTGAGAAGATTAAGATGTTCAATTCTTTTGGCTCTTCGCAAAAAGCTCTATTCATGTTAATTTTATTGAGGAAATCTCAACTGATCTTGTACTTTGGTTTCGACCATGAATATATCTTCCATATTTGCTGATGATATATTCTTTTCAGCAATATATATAGCATGATACAGTCAATTTCTTTGGGGAGTTATTGGAAATATAGTATACACTTTGTACAGTCAAAGATTTGTTTGTTACCAACTTACTCTATATAGCTAATATTTTTCTGTTATTTATTGGTAGAAATATGGTATACACAGTGGAAGATTATTTGTATGTTTACATATATAGGATGATACAATCCATCTATATATACAGTATATGTTGACGCTTATGGAAATATAATATACACAGCCAAATGTCTGTTTGTTACCAACCCGCCACTATGTAGAATAACATTTCCCATAACAGTTTATTAATAGGATATTACTTTTATAACATATACATTTTAGTGGTAAAATATGAAATAACAAAAAAATAAATTTGTCATTGGGAAGAAAAAAACAATTTTAATACAATCCATCTCTAGCTTTTTTAAAAAAAAAACTCTTATTTTTGGCGGAAAATAAAAAAAAATTACATTTTTGTGAAAGATCATAAAACCACAACTTTGATGGAGCATACTTTACTGAGTTTGTAATTTTTTAGACGAAAATCTGTGAAACTCTTTGTGGAGACAAAATCAAAGATATACTTTTAAGGAGTAAATTTTTGAGGGGTTAATCGCAAAATCATATTTTAATGGGACAATAGTGAAATCATAGAATTTGTTAGAAGAAATATTTCTAAAATAATTTAATGTATACTCCCCTGTTTCAAATTAGTTGTGAAAATGTATGTACAATTATTTGGATGTATCTGGATGTGTTTTGAGTTTAATACATCCAAATGATTGCAGATATATTATCCTAAAACGATAAGTAATTTGAAACGGAAAGAGTATATATGATTTATGATGATGGGTTGATGACTCAGCCATTTAACGTAGTTTAATTTGACTAGTTTAATCCAGTTTTATCCACACAAATGAACCATTTGATCCAATGATCCATCATTATCAAAAAAAAATTGATCCACTACAGTTGATGGATTGGATTTACTGATTACATTTGTACCTAATCCAGGACCACCAATATGCAAACTGGTGGCTAGGTTTGGGGGCCGACAATGCATTGATAGGATACTTACCCATAAATTTTTACGACGTTGGTCGATCATGCAGATTGCAGATGGAGTGGAATGGTGAGATGAGATCACAATTGCAGAGACGTTTCGACGACACACAACAACTCAAATGGGTTCCGGTTGCTTCATAGATGAAGGATTTGGGAAAGTTAGTTATTTCCGAAATATGGAAGTCCTCAATCACAACAATAGTCTACAGTCCATCCAACATATTGACACAAAGGTACATATATAAACCCAAATTATACGACTTAAACAACCATTTTACAAAGGATTGGGGAAGTTATTTTCTATATGGAGGACCAAGATTGAGCAGTCTGCATTCGCCAGCCATTCGTTCATCATTGTACGTCATTCATTTTATCAAAATTTTGTTTTACAAAAATAAGCATAACATAAGTAAATTATAAGCAAAAAATATGCAAATCCTAAGTAAAACATAATAAATATGACAATATTATGTTTTAAGAAAACATTTTAGTGGATTTCAATGTATACTCTCTCCTAAAATATAAGTAAAGCAAATATATGAGTTTTGTCTTCTGTTTTAAAATCCTCATCGTAAATTTGTGAGAATTCATCAAGACCCAACAAAATCCAACTACCTTAAAATACTTTAAAACACCAATTGAATAACACCTCCTTGTTCTATTGAGAGAACTGGGAGATGTGGAGTTTTTCACTTCATTTCCTAATTTCTGCAACTGATATATACCGTAAATTGAATTTTAGTTTGATTCTGGGCTTAGGGTTTGTGTATATAATGGTTTAACACAACATGTATGGTTAACTTATTCAAACCCAACGTGTTCATATAGTCAAAGATTTGTTTGTATGTAACCAACTTACTCTATATAATTAATATTGTTTTATTATTTATTGGTAGAAATATAGTATACACAGTGGAAGATTATTTATATGTTTACATGTATAGGATTAGGATGATACAATCCATATATATAAGTTAACGAGGGGACTAAACTACCAAGACTATGCCCCAAAGTGAAATTATATTTCTACTGAGATAACTAACTATCAAACCAGCGCCTGTAGCTCAGTGGATAGAGCGTCTGTTTCCTAAGCAGAAGGCCGTAGGTTCGACCCCTACCTGGCGCGTTAGTTTGAATCTTACCATATTCTTTTATTAACTACCAATTATCAACTTTTTTTCAAGATTATGTGGGAACTTAACAAAAAATGTGTAACCACCGATTTCAAGACACCATCAAACAAACTATGTAACACCTAAAACTATTTTTTCTGATGTTACGCTGAGACTTAATGGTAACAGAAAATTAGTTTTAGTATTACATCATCTGAACATCTTCAATGTCCTGATGTGGGAAAATGGGTAAACAAACCCTGAGCTATTCCAAAAACATAAAATAAACCCTGAGCTATTTTTGTGGGTTTTTAAACCCTCACCTTGTAAAAAAGGAGAATTCAGCCCCTAAGTTAATAAGCGGATAAATAAAACAAGTTTCTTAATTATTCTTTTCCAGAGCTTCGTTTTCTTCTTCTAAATTTAGGTCAAACTCACAATATTATAATTTCTTAGAAGAGAAACTTGCGGTAGAAGAGAAACTAGAGCACACATCTCGATTTTGTCTAGTTAGAGATGAGGTAAGTCGATTATTATACGGAGTTCATCCAATTTTGATTACTCAGAATAAAAGAATAAATTTGATCTCTCGCTTGAAAAAAAATTTGTATTGATTTTGAGTGAGTTGGCGAGATACTTTTGACAAAAATCTGACTTTTTTCTTATTATATTCCTTGTTAAGTGATGATTTGCATGACTATGGTGTTACGGAAGATAGAGAACGCAACGGAGATAATGATTCTGAGAGTGAGAATGAATCAAGTGAAGAATTGGTTGGTTTAAGGATGCAAGAGGACACTGATAGTGACATCGAAGATTCATCTAACGAGATTATTGCATTTCGAGTTGGCCAAGCTTTTAGTAGTAAGGATAGTTTCAGAAAGGCGATTGACAAATATGCTGTGGATATGACGAGAAATATACGGTATAAGAGATCTGAAACTACTAAAGTAGGCGCTGTTTGTGCAGAAAAGGGATGTCCTTGGAATATATATGCGTCTATAAACAGTTCAAGTAAAGATATGGTTGTGAGAACTTTCGTTGGAAAGCACACATGCTCATGGAATGGTAAAGTTCAGTTATTAACTTCGAGGAAGATCTGTGATAAGTTCATCGATGAATTCAGAAGAAATCCTGGTCTAAAAGCTGGTGAAATTAGGGATAGGTTACGGACTAATGATCGACTATTAGTCTCAAAGGATAAATGCCGGGAGACGCGAAGAATTTGTACTAAAATGATTGCTGATGAATATGAAGAACAATTTACAAGAATGTATGATTATGTAGGTGCACTTAAGGAGTCGAATCCTGGCTCTACGGTAATTTTGGGAACAAAGGCTAAGGTTTTTGACAAATTCTATTCATGCTTTGCTGCAATGAAAGAAGGGTGGAAAAATGGGTGTAGACGTATTCTTCATTTGGATGGAACATTCATGAAAGGGAAAATAAAAGGTGAAGTACTTACAGCTGTTGGCCGAGATGCTAATGATAAAATGTTTCCTGTTGCATGGGCTATTGTTTCTGTGGAGAACAAGCCAAATTGGGAATGGTTTATGACATTACTGCAAGAGGATTTGGACCTTGGTTCAGGAAATGGTCTAACTCTTGTTTCAGATCAACAGAAGGGTCTAATTGCAGCAAGAGACTCTGTTCTTCCTCATTGTGAGCATAGAATGTGTGCTAGGCACATATGGGCTAACTTGTACAAGAAGTTCGGGGATGAAACAGGTCTCTTACATATTGCATTCTGGAAGATGGCAAAAGCATATAATATGAGAGTTTTTGAGCAAAGAGTAGAAGATTTTAAGCTTTTAAATCATGAAGCTTATGAACGTCTTATGCGATGGTCTGCATGTCACTGGTCCAGGTATGAAAACGCATTCGTTGTTATAATACTCACGTAAGATTAAACTCAATTTTAATATTTTATTCATTTTTCGTTTGTATTATTTTGTAGAGCTTTCTTCACAGGTTTTGCTAAGTGTGATGCTGTTGAGAACAATATGAGTGAATCGTTTAACAATGTCATAGATGATGGACGGTTTAAACCATTGGTTGGGTTGCTTGAAGATATTAGGATACATGTCATGACAAGCAATGAAGGAAAGATACGCATGATAGAAGAACACGAAGGAGAGGTAACCCCACACGTTAAAAAGTTACTTGATAAACAAAGAAAAAAAGTAAAAGACTGCACTCCTATTTGTGGTGGAAGAGGTTGGTATGAGGTTGATCATGGTAGGGAAAAATACAGTGTTAATGTAAGAAATGAAATTTCTTGCACGTGTCGTCGATTCGAGGTCAGTGGTATCCCATGCTCTCATATGATTTCTGCTTTATTGGCTGAGAATAGAAATATTCGTACCCCCGAATCCATGGTTACCGGATGGTTATCAATTCCTAAATGGAAAGTGTGTTATGAACACATACTAAAACCTAATAATGGTATGGAGCTTTGGCCTAGACATAAAGATGTAATAGTGTTACCACCGCCTTTTAAAGATCCACTTGGCCGAAAGAAGACACCAAAAAGACGTCTTGAAGCATTTGAAACTCCTGCTGGCAAACAAACACAACATGGAATTCAAATGGTATCATCAATGCTTTAGTTCTTCTCTTTATGTTGTTTTTTAATCGTTTATTCATATGATTTATTGTTGTTTTAATCATGTCACTGATCTGGTTTTTCTTTTTCTTTTTTTCCTAGACATGTAGCAACTGTCTTAAAAAAGGACATACCAAGCGAACATGCTCAAATGAAAAAGCTATTGTTCCCCCAAAGAAGCCTCGAGGTCGTCCATCGAAAAATCAGCCGAGTGAAGAACCATTGGTGGAGACAACACCTACACTTCAAAGCCAGCCAACACCCACATTTCATAACCAGCCGACACCCGCATTTCATAGCCAACCGAATGTTCCTATAGAGAGTCATGGTGTTTTTCACAGTCCACTAACAGGAGACGACTATATATGTGTTGGCCGAAGTGTTCGAGACATGAGCACTAACATTGTGCTATCTTCATCACTTTTCAGAGAGCACGAACGAAACAAGTTGAATATTAAACGGCGCAAAACATGAAGATTTATCTGCATTTTATTTTGGGACAAGTTTTCAAAAGTTTCCATACTTCTACTTACATTTGTGACTTGCTCTCGTTCTCTTATCAAATAATTCTTTTTTTATCTATGAATTTCATTTTGTTCTGATCTAGACATGAAATTCCAGCTAGCTCATGTTGTATCATTTTAAATAGAGAGAGACGATGCTTCTTTAAGAAAGCAAAAGAATATTAACTTAGGGGCTGAATTCTCCTTTTTTACAAGGTGAGGGTTTAAAAACCCACAAAAATAGCTCAGGGTTTGTTTTATGTTTTTGGAATAGCTCAGGGTTTGTTTATCCATTTTCCCTCCTGATGTTCAATTTTGTGACGAGAAAAGATCAAAAGAATATACATGAATATATATTACAAAAGGGGTCGAATCTGTATTTACCATAGAAAGGCTTTCCTTTGTTATTTCTTACCCAAAACTTCAAAAAGAATCACTTCTTCTTTTCTTTACACCAGGTTTAATGCTAAGAGTGTCATTTGAGATATGTGGGAGCCCTAATCATCATCCTCTGAATCTGCCATTGATGTAACAAAACAAAAATCACTCAAAACTTCCAAAGACACTACGCAACATAGGCCGAGCTAATTTAAAGAATAGTAATCCAGATTCGTATGCGTGATGATACCTGATCTTATGTCTTCTCCCACTTTTCCTCTGTTTTCAAGCTGTCTTATGATCATAGCACAGATGAGATACCACCAATAAATGTGGAAAACTAATAGCATTAGCAACATTGTGTTGAACGCATAGTACATCAACGTGTCTTTAACCAATGTCATATCCAAATATCGCAGTAGTTCCGAGCTGCAAAAAGGGCATATCCATACAAAACTTCATATACACGAAATCTGTAAAGAGCAAGAGTCCAGAGATATTTTCTTTTAGGAATTCGTAAACTGTGTGAGTACCTCGTAGCCCTGATGATCCAAAATGGGAAGTACACCAACCGCAGCAAGAACCAAGAAATAGCAAATAATCCAAAACACACACTTGCTCCAAGCTCCTTTCCCGAATACTTGAATATTTTAGCAGATTCCATAAACACATCACTCGCGTCATGAATGGCGAGTATGATTGATCCAATTCGGAAAAACCTGCATATAAACAAAATTTAGTTTCTCTATAAGGATAATTTTTTTAAAAAAAAACCTCACATTCAAAGGCTTATGGGTTAAGAAAAGCAAATGCTTTCTTTTTTTTGAACAGCAAATGCTTGAAACGCAAATTTATTAGATCTAATAAGTATTATCTTTGCTAGTTAAACTAGCTCAACAAATCTTTTCAACAATATGTAAGTAAATCGATAAATCATAATATTAATCACCCCACTAAGTAAGAGGAGCCAATGAGGATGATGGTGATTATGTGATGAGACATCATAACAGCAAAGTCCTTTCTTCTTGTCTCCCAAGCAATCAACGCAGCAACACTATATACATAGAACCCACACTGGCACATATAGTAAAGCCTTAGAGATGACCTACAAAAACAAAAAATAAATATTTCTAAAATCAAGAACTCAAAGGCAAACATATCCTCAACTGAAAATGCTAATTTGATTACTCACTTCAGTTCCTGTTTTGGCCATCCGTCAAAGTAAAGTTTTATATCACCAAACCACGGCTCTAGATAAACCAATCCAAGAACACAAATCTCACAACCAGCATAGTATAACAATTTCCACAAGGACTCTTTGCATTTGATGATTTTCACACGAGTCGCATCGTTCAATTTCAGTGGCGAAGAACCGGTTCTCAAAAGCCATACAGATATCCTCTGAAAATATTCAAAACCATAATCAATCAACATCATTGTTCTTGCAAATGCATGAACATCGGTCCAAAACTTACGAAAATATACACGTTATACGCTGAAATTAAATAATTAATAGTTTGTTTCCGGAAACAATTCGAGGAAGATAAAGGTTTCTTACATGAAAGACGAATCTATCGAGGAACAGCCTCGAGAAGAAGAATCCGAAGGCAAAATACACAACGGTCAGGAAATGCGAAACAGCAAACGGGGATTTGAGATTGCCGATTACGTCGCTACCGCGTGAAGATACGGATTCCATGTCCCGGAGAACACAAACCCTTGCCGGAGCATTCAACGGAACGGAAGAAGCTAAATTGTTGATCTTCTGATGAAAACTGCACCGAAGGAGACTATAACGGCGACGGAAGAAGAGAGAGGTCAATGGCAAAAGAATGGCGAGAAAATGGAGCGTTAAGGGAAGAGAAAACGATCAGAAAATTTGAGAGCTATAAAGACGGAGAAAGAAGAAGACAAAGAAGAAAATGGCAGAGATTCGAAAATGCGTCATGCATAATGCTGTTGGAGAGAGATCTCGCCAACTTTTGTTTTTATATTGATTTTAAAATTATACATTAACTTTTAAAGTTTTTATCAATTTCGACCGGCATGAGAAGGACAAAAAAAGACAAATATCTTTATATTTAAATAATAGCTAAAAAGTGATGGTCTAATTGGAGGGTTTTTTTTTTTTTTTAATATATACTGACAAACAAAACAAACTGCATTTTTTTTTTTTTTTTAAATATACTTACTGATAAGAGACCGCTGAGGACGAGAGAGTAAGAGATAGACAAATCTCAACTCCCGGCTCGCCTAGGGCCAACCACTCCAATTTTCCCATCACTTTATAGTCTCCACTCGGATTACAAACCCTCGTCACTGAGCTCGACGTACTGTTCAAGTCAACTAAACTTATATATACAACACTAATATCATTATTTTCTCCGATGTGGGGCTTTTGGTGACTTATATATTCTTGTATATATGCAACAATTCTCATCAACACTAATATCTTCTTTCGCTTTTACCGCCGGTTCCCTCAAACAACGTAATGGAAACGTAATGGGCTTCTCTTCCTCAAGCTCATGGGACATTATTATTCTCTGATCTGAAGTAAATTACATTATTAGTTTGTACTTTATAGAACTCCTAACCTCACCTTTTCCCCTAAACTGAATTTACCACCTTTTTGGAATTTTGTAGATTTGCAAGTCAAAAGTTGTGATTGGTTTGCTACAGCAGAAGCTAAGACTCTTCTCAGTGCAGTGAAATCGTTTCTTCAATACATGTGTGATGCAACTTTAAGTGCTTAAAACTTCTTCTGCTCATCTTCTACGCTTCCACAACGTCCAAAATCATTAATTGTTGTTTGGAGTAGACACCAAATAAAATGCAACAGTTTATGTGACTTGTCTCAATGACTAGAATCAAAGCCGTAAACAATTAAAAAAACTGGAGCACAACAACAAATGTTAACAAAGAGCAGACTTGATATACATACTGATAGAGAGCTTCCGAGTCTGTCCTGATTATAGAAACAGAGACAAAAAAAAAAAAAAAAAAAAAAATACACAAACAAAACAGGAACAAGCAACTAAGCAAGCGCTTTTGCAAAAAGTTTGTCCAACTCCATAAGAAGAATAATCAATCAATTTGGCGGCGGGCGGGGTACCGGATCCATCCACTGTGGAAGCACAAACTGGGATAACATGATGACCAAAGTTTCACTGTGATTCTGATAAGCTTCTATATACTCCTTAGAATGGTGTGTGTTTACGGCACAAGAACCACAATTCTTTGATTCTTGACGAACGACCAACTCTTTTGTCCGTAAGTTAACCGATACCAAACAACCGTGTTATCATAATTAGGTTTAGATAATAATGAGGTTTCTATGGCATTTATTGATACTAAAATAGTCGCTATAAGTAGTTGACAGTGGTTTAGATAATAATTAGGGTTTCTTGATGCAGGAAGGCTTCCACACAAAAGAAAAACAAAAAAGGATTTTGTGTGTGTGTGTGTGTTTGTATAATCTTTTGGTGTTGCGTGAAAAAATGGCTCGAAACTTTCTTCGAACGAGTCTTTGTTTCTCATAACTATTCGTGTGTCTCTTGCTTTTTGAATTCTCTCTACTGTGGTGGTATCTACACTAATTAGATTTTTAATCTGCGTTTCTCATAAGTATGCTCTTTTGTGATTAGCTTTGCAATCTCTTTAAAGTCAACAAAAGTCCCACATCGGAAGCAACAAGATTTTTGTTGTTGTATATATATATATATATGTTTAGTTAACTACAAATGTACGTCGAGCTCAGTAACGGGAGCTTGTTATCCAAGTGGAGACATGTGGATTGGAACGCGGCTTCATACTGATTACATTGTCAAATGGAGATTGGCACTGTCTTCAAAGTTTGACTCAACACGGGGAAACTTTTTGCAATAAAAGTCTTACTTGTTCTTTTCTTGTTTCAAAGTTTTACTCAATAAAAGTTTCAAAAGTCTTACTTGTTCTTTTCTTGTAACGAGTCTTAGTATTTGTTTTCTTATAAACTACTCGTGTGTCTCTTGCAATAAAAGTTTTTACTTGTTCTTTTCTTGTTTCAAAGTTTTACTCAATAAAAGTTTCAAAGTCTTACTTGTTCTTTTCTTGTAACGAGTCTTAGTCTTTGTTTTCTTATAAACTACTCGTGTGTCTCTTGCTTTTTGAATTCTCTGTTGTGGTGGTATCTACTCTATTTGGGTTTTTAAACTGCGTTTCTCATAAGTATGCTCTCTTGTGACTAGCTTTGCAATCTCTTTAAAGTCAACCAAAGTCCCACATCGGAAGAAAAAATAGTTTTGTTGTTCTATATATATGTTTAGTTAACTATAGTAGTACGTCGAGCTCAGTAACGGGAGCTTGTTATCCAAGGGGAGACATTTGGATTGGAACGTGGCCTTTGATTACATTGTCAAATGGAATTTGGCGTGGTCTTCAAAGTTTGACTCTCTAACACGGGGAAACTTTTTGCAATAAATCTTCCAATTCAGTACCTCTGCAAAAGCTTGTTCTGTGGTGTTTATGTATTTCGTTCTTATAATCGGGACAAATTCGTTAGCCTGTTCTGCTCTTTTGTGATGACTTTAAATCCAATTTGCATGTTGTTGACATTAGCTGTGCAATCTATTTACAACCATCGTTTTTATTCAAATTCTTGCTTCACCTATTGCTTTTTTTTTTGGCATTTGTGCTTTAAGAAATTTAAGGGCATATAGGAAGTTGTCTTTATTGATGGGACTGTTGGTTACTGGTCGAATAAGGTTTGGCGTTGTCTTCAAGACTCCTCCGTAAGTGTTTAGACATGAATTTTCTTATGATTAACCTCAGAGATATACTTGTATCTCAATATAACCTCAAAGATGTACATCTTGTGTCGCAAGACAGTGTGTCAAGAAAAAGAACATTAAAGCCTACAGAAAAGAAGTTGATGTTGTTACTTGGAAGAAAAGTTAAGCAGATATACAATTCTCAAGCCTTTTAATGGTCGTGTGCATGTGATGGAGAATTCCAGAACATAGTCGAAATTATTGTTCGTGGAAAATCAGAATTATGGTCGCGTGTGATCACATCACATTGTATTGAATTAACGCAAGATTTGACTTCTGTACAATTTATTCAGAATTGTTGTTCGTGGAAAATCCATGTTTGGACGTGCTAAAGACCTTTTTAACTTGGTATGGCTTTACCTCTAATAATAAATTCAGGTTTTTAGTATTATTGGTTAGTTAGGTCACGTGAATTTATTTTCAAATGTTATATAAAAAGATGATGGTCCAGTTGAATTCGGCTGGTATTGGACCATAGTGGGCTCTGAAGGAATGTGCACAGCTTTGTATTCCTTCCATGACAATCGGGAGAGTAAGCCACGGCGTCCCCCTGGGAAGGTAAACAGAAAGACCTTACCCACCTGCCGGAGCCCCCTCCACCCTGGCAACTCCCGACTTGTTAGGCATATGACTCAATGAAGCCGATCCAACTTCCCATCATCCCTAGGGATGACCCCAATAGTCTCCACTTGGATCACAAACCCACGTTACTGAGCTCGACGTACAATAAAGTTGAGCTGAATATATATATACAACAAGAAACATAGTGTTTCTTCCAATGTGGGACTTTTTTGGTGACTATGAATTAAAACCCTAGTAGTAGCCAGTCGGGTTTTTAATCAGTTTTCAGCGCTCTTACTTTTCTCGGTCATGTCAACGACCGCCCTCAGTATCAGGTAGGGAGATACGGATGATACGGCCGTTGAAAAGGCATGATATAAGAAGCTAGAGATTTATAATCAAGAATCCGTCACGCCATTAATGTCTCCAACCTATAAAGCATCACACAGGACCAGTGATCACCTCAGTGGGAACACATGTAGGTTATTTTGGAATCTCACTCTCTCAAGTTAAACTTGGGACGCATTTTGAGTGCTTCCCATTCAAAGAGGACAAGTAAATAGAACTTTCAAGTCCATGTGTACTAATGCACTAGTTACAGTCTTACAGAGAAAATAACGCCAAACAGCCTTTAAGAGTTACACTCTGAGATGAAATCTTCCGGCGCTTTCCCAGTTACCTAAATATTGGGTTATATTTGAGTTTTTTTTTCTAAAGTTATGTAAAGACCAGTCTAAATAATTCTATAAAGCTTTAACGCTTACATCTGCTCCATTTGGACTCTAAATATTCCTTTGACTTAATGTTTGTAAGAGTCAGGATGGCCGAGCGGTCTAAGGCGCCAGACTCAAGTTCTGGTCTTCGTAAGAGGGCGTGGGTTCAAATCCCACTTCTGACAAACTCTTTTTGTTCCATACCTATTTAATTGGTTCCTTTAAAAAAAAAAAAAAAAAGTAATCCCAAATATGACTGGATGTACTGAATTTTTCTGGTCCAACGTTTACTGAATGCTTTTGTTGAGGATTTTAGTGCACTGCATGAGAAGAGTTTGTTGTAGCTTCTGCTGTAGCAAACAAGTCAAAACTTTCAAGGTATTAAGTTCAGTTTAGGAGTCCTGTGAACTAAGGATCTTAATGTGATTCTACTCTCTGTCAACAACGAAACTGGAGCAGACTTCAACCATTGCTCTTCTGGCAAACTAAGGATCTTTATGTGAATCTACTCTATGGATGAACTAAATAAAGACAAACATCCATTACACAAGAATTTGAAGAAAAAAATAAACGATTCTTAATATATTTCACAGATCATAATACTAATAGAGCATTTA